AAAAATTATCAAGGGCTCATGAGGGAAGGGGGAGTGGGGAGGGAGGGGAAAAGTGAGGACCTGATGCCGGGGGCTTGGGTGGAGAGGAAATATTGAGAATGATGAGGGCAATGAATGTACAAATGTGCTTTACACAATTGATGTATGTTGGATTGTGATAAGAGTTGTATGAGCCCCTAATAAAACTATTTTTTTAAATTTTTTTAAGAAATAAAAAATAAACTAGTGGCAATCGTTATACAGAAAAAAAAATGGAGAACAAAACTCAGGTTTTAATAACCAGACTTACTGGATTGATAGAGTCTAGAACAGTGGTTCCCAACCTTCCTAATGCCACACCTCCTCATGTTGTGGTGACCCTCCCCCAACCATAAAATTATTTTGTTGCTACTTCATAGCTATAATTTTGCTACTGTTATGAATCGGGTGACCCTTGTGAAAGGGTCATTCAACCCCCAAAGGAGTCAAGACCCACAGGTTGAGAACCGCTGGTCTAGAAGAACCGCTGAGACTATCATCCTCAGATACCCTCTTAACATGCAACTAAAGCCACTTCCAGAGGTTTCTTTTCAGCCAAATAAAAGATTGGGTTGCCAAGTAAATAATATGACCTATGAGGAATGTGCTTCTTTTACCAAGGATACCAGACCAAAAGGTCAATATTTACCCCAAAGCAAAACTAAGGCAAGAAAGGGCAGGGAGGCTAGAAACAAACAATGGAAATCAGGAGGATGCTGGCACATTGCAAGTATTCTAACTAATGCCATAGAACAGTTCACATGAAAATTGCTAATAGCGAATGCAGTTGTGTAAAGCTTTGCCTAAAACATGAAATATTCAAATGGGGGTGGGGGGGGATTAGCCAGGCAGTCTGTGGGAGACGGAGAAGACCCAATAGAAGTAGATTTCTCAAACTATATTCTAGATTATTATTAGAGTGACCATGTGAAGATCACTTTCTAATGGCTTCAATCTAGGCATAGATAGTAAAGTAAAATGCCAACAGTTTTGCATATATAGTATTTGCTTTTCATGTATAATATTATTTACTTTGCAGAGTGTGAGATTCTAGTATATAACATTTCTGAACTGATCTAGCTTTCAGGATGCCAGCCTGCTCCTGAAGGTTATTCCCCAACAGTTCAGTGGCAGCAGCAACAAGTAGCACAGTTCTCAACTGTTCGTCAGGTAAGTGGAGTTCATTTCCAGATTAAACTCTTCCCCTCCGTCTTATCTCTGTTCTGAGACTGTAGGTGGAAAAATAAGATTCCTGATTCTGAACCAGGAATACATATAAGAATATGAATGTTACTAAAGTATCACTAATCCTTGAAAGCAACACAGCTTGGAGCATATTTTCCAAGTTGTAGGATGATTCGAATTTTCTGCAGAGACTTGATTAAGTTATTCTCTTAAGATCACCGGTGTTTTTGCTTTCTTTAGAGTGTGAACAAGCACAGAGATCACTGGAAGTCACAACAATTGGATAGTAATGTGACTATGGTATGTATGTTTTCTCACGGTAACTTGTACAGTGTCTACCAATAGTCCATATTTATACTTCTAATATTTAGAGATTCACTTGCATGGTCTGTATGATCCTCATTTTCTTTCATATGCCATTAATACTCATAATTGTATTATATTAAACAAATCCAGGTGCCATTGTTGATATTGACTCATCACGACCCCTATACATGTCAGAATAGAACTATGCTCCATAGAATTTTTAATGGCTGACTTTTCAGAAATACCTAGTGTTTCAAAGACCTTCTGATAAGTGCTTCTGAGTGGTCTCAAACCTCCACCCTTTCAATTAGCAGCTGAGCTCTGTTACCATTTGCTGTACTCAGAAACTCCTTTTTTATTTTATTAAGGTACAGACAGAATCAGTAATTTTGAGTTGTTTTGTTTATGATTTTTTGAAACCAAATCATCTTGGGAGACTTTCAAGTAAATTATTATGCGTTTCTGAGTTTTTAAGAGTTCTTTTAGACATTTACTTAGTAAGAGATACATATATTTTAATAATTTTTACAAAGAATATAATAAAAGCTTATTGTTTTTTCTTAGTGAAAGAATGATACCATGAAGCAAACCTACATGCTTACAGATTATTGTCTGTGTTCCCTGGTGCCAGTGGAATCTTAGTGAGTCTGGAAAGTATATACTGGACACTGTCATTTCCCACATTGTATCAGCTTAGGTATAATTTTAAGCTCTTTAGTAAATAAATATGGTATTCAGAGCCCTGATGGCAGAGTGGTTAGACATTAGGCTCCAATCCTCAAGGTCTACACTTCAAAACCACTAGGGACTCTGAGGGCGAGAGGCATGGATTTCTGTTTCTGTAAACAGTCTTGGAAACTCACAGAGGCAGTTCTACCCTGTCCTAAAGGGTAGAAATATGGACTATTGAGTTTGGTTTGGTTTTTGAGTAAGTATATCTAGACTACTTCAGGGGGTGAAAAAGCTTTTGAGTAAGTATATCTAGACTACTTCAGGGGATAAAAAAGAATTGGGGAAAAGGTGGGCACATTTTTCTAGGAGAAGAGTGTTTAATCTTTTAGGGGTTCACATATACCATGTGAAAATCTATTGAAAGCTACTTACCCTCTAGGGGGGGAATGCACCTATGCTTAAAATTTCACACATAGTTTCAGGAGGTTCATAGATTTCAGAAGCTTCCTTTTGGCAGTGCTTCCTAAGATTTTTACTCGGTGACCCATCGGGATAAATGGATGAGGCTGCTTTGCCAATCTTCCTAAGATAATCAGCTGTTCATAAAAGTGGAACAGTTCGGTATTTGGCTGGTTGAAGGTCTACTCTAGGGAAAATATGAAGAGAAGTAACTTTATATTACTTGCTCAAAATCACATAACTTGTAAGAGTTATACAGTAGCTGAGATTCAGAACCAAGGGTTTCTGATTCTAAAACCGACGTTCTTCCTCTGCATAGCCGAGCATTCCGTTAAGAAGGGTATATGTGGGTGGATGGGGGTGGGCAAGCAGTTAGGATTCTTTCTTTTTGCTAATTTGGTCTAAGGACTTCAGAGTATATGCCTATTTGCTCAAAAGAAGATGAATCAATAATATAATTTGTACAGCCCACAAATTTGTATAGTTTTTTGAAAATAAAAAAGACCTAACATAATTTATTAGTTGTAGAATGAAAGTTGGCAGTGGGATGTTTATTATGTTCATCATGGCAAATGTAAAACACGACAATATTAAACATGGACAGAATGTTTAAAGCACACTCTGATGGCAGTTATGTAAAGAAAAAAATTTGATTGGTCGATTTCCCAGGTATTTATTAAGCACTTTCTATGTTAAATAATAGAAGGCCTGATGATGCAGTGATTAGAATACTGAGAGATTAGTGGAGCGCTCAAGCCTACTAGCCACTCTACTAGAGAAAGATGTTGCCAGTCTGCCTCTAAAGATTTACAGCTCTGGAAGCCCCTGGGACAGCCCTAGTCCGAATCAACAGCAGTGGGTTTGGGCTTATATTCAGTGTCGGGCTACAGAGCTAAATGAAGCAGAGATAGCCTCTGCTAATAAAATAATGAGAAAAAGGTGGGTTCATGGCCCCAATGCATTCGTTTTTAATCTTCTAGTGGTCTCATATTCCACTTGAAATTATAATAAAAAGCCATTTTGTTTCCTCAAGAAGCCCTTATGACATAGTGATTATGCACTGAGCTACTAACCACAAAGTCAGCAGTTCAAAAACACAAGGCACTGCACAGGATAACAATGGGGCCTCTCCTCCCTTAGAGAGTTACAGACACAGAAGCAGTTCTACCGTGTCCTACAGTCACTATCAGTCAGAATCAACCTGATGACAGTGCGTTTGGTTTCGTTTTTTGATCTGTCCTTAATTTGTCAGCATCCATTAATACATCATCCAAACTGACACAGAACCAGGTAGTGTGTGACTTCTTAGGCAGTATACCTATGTATTGAATTGGTGGGACTATGGAGGCTTGTACATTCTCTTTCTTAACTGTGCAGCATAGAAATAAATACAGTGATTTATTTATTTTATTTTTTTTTTACTTTCAGCCAAAATCTGAGGATGAAGAAGGCTGGAAAAAATTTTGTCTGGGTGAAAGATTACTAGTTGAAGGGACTGTTGGCCCAGCTACAAATGAAAGTCCAGGAATTGATTATATACAGGTAGGTGATACGTGCATAATAAACAGAAATGGTTCTATTTTGGTATATCACTTAGTAAATGAGGTCAGCAAACTGGCTTGTACCAGAACCAGTCTGTTTTATGCAACCTATAATCTAAGAGGAGTTTTACACTTTCAAAGAATTGCAAAAACTAAAAATACAGAGAATATGGGAGTAAGGCTGTGAGGCCCACAAAGCCTCAGATATTTACAGTCCGGCTCATTTTTTTTCAGTCTGGCTCTTTACACAGATTGGTTGCCAACTGCTGACTTAATTTATTGACTCTTGAACTTAAAAAGTGATTGTCCAGGTTTTGAAATCATTTACTGGGACTTACTTTAGGTTCACTTGCAAGTTAGATAACATTCTAAATGTTTTTCAAAATGACTAGGCCTGACCCAGGCTAATGAATGATCTCCCTCATCTGGATATGTCTCTGTACTTGGCGTGTTCTTGCCCCATTTAAGACCTAATAAGTGTTCTCTTTAAATGCAAAAAAAAAAAAAAATTAACAGTTTTTATTAGCACTTTATTCACGTGTCATACAATTCAATCATATCAAGAATAGTTAAATTTTTTTTTGAAAAATGATTAGGCTTGGATCAAACAATGATTTATGAGTAACAAAGGAAACATGAAGCCATTTTAGATAAAATCGAAGAAAAATGCATGGTGATTGCTTATTCTATAAATTAAAGGTTGAAGATATATTTAAATTTCATATGGGTTCATTGTAATCATATATGGCCAACCATTCATATCCTTCAGAATTCACCTACCCCAAGTCTCCAGGTACTCCTAGGGAACTTGCGACATGCATCTATATTACTCTTACTCCCTGTGTTATACTCTGCTGTAGCCCACAAGTATTTCTGTTTGCTGCCTAGTGGTGTAATGGTTACACTTTGGCATGATTCTCTGAAAGGTCAGCACTTTGAAACCACCAGGTACTCTGAGGGAGAGATATGGGGCTTTCTACTCCTGTGGAGTTAAAGTTTGGGAAACTCACAGGGGCAGTTCTACACCTCCCTGTAGGGTTGCTGTGAGTCAGCCATGACTCTGGCAATGTACCACGTTTTTTCCATTTAAAACTAACATCTCAAAAACGTAAAGAGCTCCAGAAATCACTACACTATCAAGAATCTGATAGAAAAGCAGGCAACGGATTATAAATAGGTGTTTCACAGAAAGGAACTACAAGGGTTTTTATAAGAGATTCCCAGCATCACTGTAATAGAAAGTTTATTTGAACAACACAGAGCTGCTGATTTTCAAGCACTACTGGCAAAGTTTGATACATTCTGTTGGCAAGATAATAAGGGCTAAGTTGGTACTTTTTCTGAAATACTCTTTTGCATTCTTGAATAATATCCTTTATGTAAGCTACATTTCAATAATATTTTTAATCTAACAGAATAAAAATATATTTATCTTATCACAGTACATGCAAGTAAAATATTCCATGAGCAAACCATTTTAAGGGCACGGCAGTTTAATGCCTAGACTCAAGATTCTCACTACTCAGTAGTGGTTTATAATCAGTACTCCCAACATCAAGCTTCAAATTGTGCTTTTTATTTCTTTCTTTAATCAGATTAGGCTTAGTCTAATTCAAGTGTCCTTAATTCATGAAAGTACTAGCTTTAGTTGGAGATTTTGAAATGATGTCTACCACTGTTAGAAATGGAGTGGAACACCGCACCCCACCCCCGCCCCAATATCATGACGCCAGTTCTGCCTTACAAATCTGGCTAGAGCACGTACACTGGTACAGAGAAGAGCTCTCCACCCACAGAATCCAGGGCAGATAAACCCCTCAGGAACACTAATGGGAGTAGCGATACCTTGAGGGCAGGGGGAAGGTGAGGGGAGAAAAGGGGAACTGACGGTAATGAGCGACGTATAACCCACCACCACCACCCCGGTGGTGAACAACAGAAGCATGGGTGAGTGGGGAGACAGCGGATGGCGTAAGATATGAAAATAATAATAATGTTTAATCTAACAAGGGTTCGTGAGGGTGGGGGTAGGAGGGAAAAAATGAGCTGATA